ACCACAAATTATAAAATCCAGGAGTTCACGGAGTATGAGAATTTCGAGAATTGTTTGGAGTACTTAGAGGATCGCATGATCAAGCTTGGTCCCTTTGATGGTCTCATTGGATTTTCCCAGGTATTCTAAAAATCGAATTGCATCATTTCTTTATTTTTACAAGTTCCAGATTTGACATTTTTGTCCATGTCAGGGGGCAATTCTCTCCGGGGGATTACCAGGACTTCAAGCTACGGTGCGTCAATCATAGAAGAGAGAGTGATGTTTTGTTTGCTTTTCTCTGCTACAAATTCTGATTGTATTTAAGTTTCGCAGGGAAAGGCACTTCAGAGAGTAGCTAAAATCAAGTTTCTCATTATAATCGGAGGAGCTAAGTTCAAATCAACGAGCGTTGCAGAGAATGCGTATTCCTCTTCCTTGCAAACTCTCTCCCTCCACTTTCTAGGTAAATCGAAACGATCTATGATCCCTTAAATGCTTTGCTATTCTCCGGGAAAAGCTCATTCATGATTGTTGCAGGAGAGACGGATTTCTTGAAACCTTATGGAACGGAGCTCATCAAATCGTTCAAGAATCCGGTTGTTGTCAATCATCCCAAAGGCCATACGGTTCCGAGGCTCGATGAGAAAAGCTTGGAGAAAGTTACGGGATTCATCGATACCATAGAGAAGCACTTGGTAATGGAGGAAGACAAGAAATCCTCTGAATAACTGTATCCCAAAACAGATCACAGTACAAAGTGTATAACGAATGATTGTTATTTATAACAAAGAAAATAAAAGGAAAAAAGGAATATTTGTTTTAACTAGATATATATTCTCATGTGCAGTAAATTCTGAAAGAAACATTACAATGCTCAACATATGTTATAACTGTAGATAAATCTGGATGCGTTTTCTTAAAACAGTATTTTCAGCTTTGAAAATGCAAAGTTTCGTGGCAAATTAGTCCACATTTGCCACCATCTAGCTACGATTTCCTTTATGGCAAATATTGAAAACATCCTCATTACAGTATGACACACTTTTTTGAACTTTTCTTTCAATAGACACTTTCTGACCAAGAGGCACTTCTACAAATTTTCCAAAAAAATCAAAACGAAAATACCTCTAGACTAAATGAATAATTGTTGGCAAAGGAAGAATCTTGTTAGAGGGGAAGCAATCTAGACTGTGCAAACTAATAAAGTATCTTTTACAACTGCAAGTTTATGGGAAGATGTGAAATTGGATCTTGGATCAAAACATTGAAAACAAAAAATAAAAGGAGGAGGAAGCGTCGA